GTGCAACTTCTCTCTAAATGCAATTAAATAGTCTGGTCCCGTGTTGGGACTTATAATATAAATGCAAGTTCTTTATTATCTAAGTGCAAGCTATTTTATGGCCCAAACATATTAACATCTCTCTCTCTATATGCAAGTCACCTGACTTTTAGCCAATCAAATCTCATGTTATGTACATTATAGCATCTTATGATTTTGTATAATTTGTACAAATGAGATCATACTATCGTGCAAACTCTTATGATCATGAATTTTTTTCTTGTTATTTTTTGTACGTTATTATATAAGCACAACAATCTTGAATTGAAACCCAGTTAGCCAATAATGATCTGTAAACCAAGATCATAATGAAACCAAACGCCAAAAAATGAAACCTTTACTGAAAGTTGAAACCCAAATTCTTTCGATGAAATACGAAACCTTAAATTTAAAATGACAAATCCTTAAACTTAAAAATATGAAATCTTATTGCTTCCGATAAAAAAAAAAAACTATAAAAAGAAACCAAATATTACTTTTCTTGAATTAACATTCATAATTTATTCAGAAATCTATCTGAAATTACATGTATGTCATCAAAATAAACTAGTACATTTTTTTCTGAACAATCGGGCTGCTATAAACCAGTTGAAATAGCCTTGTCAAAAGTATAGTACTTATAAAATAATGAATTTAAAACATACTAGCACAAAATAATTTAATAAGATTACAAAGTAATTACCAAGTGATTTTTTAGATCATTCCTATATTCATATTAGCTTAGGAATAATTTTTGCATTTTAGACTAACTGGATTGTTTCTTGCTTGACCTAATAACTTTACTATATTACATACAATAATTTAATTTTTATATTGTATATATATATATATATACATTATATTAATATCAATATCTGATACGTATGCAATCAAGGTATATTGATTTGCTATATATATCAAAATTGATCAATTATAAGCATAAATATGTATCACATGCTAAAATTTTGAATATTTTTCTCTAAATGCAACTTCTCTCTATATGCAAGGTGTCACAGAAAATTTTCTAGTATACTAATTTAGTCCTTAATTAGTATTTCTTTTATTACCCCGTTGCTCTTATAATTAGTAGATCATTATTAAATTATTAACATCAGATTATAATTACATTTCTGGGTAATGATTATTACATTCCAACATAGTGAATTAGCATTACTACATTATTTGTAAATAGTCGTATGTCTTACCTCATTCTTGGTAATCGCTAGATGTATATAAAAGGATCATTGTATATAAAGAGAAGAGGGAATCTCTTTCGAATCTTTAATAGGTTTTTGAATACACATAGCTCTTGTAATAATAAATATATAATATTCGCTCTCCCAACATAAAACTTGCATTCTTTTAAGACCCTAATGTTTATGGCTTAAAGCTAAATTGGTAACAAAGTTCTTAAAATCTCTTTCCGAGCCATGACATTTTTGGTGCCAATTGTGTGAAATGATCGTTTTCTCCGCACCTTCTTATATTAAAGGGCATAATTGAAGCCTAATTATGTGGGAAAGGATGTTAGATCTGATGAATAAAGACAAAATATAGGAGTCTTTGCAATGGCAATAACAGTTTAATTGGTAAGAATCAACCCAATGATCTGCAACAACTACTCCAAGGTATGGTAAATGTTTTAGCTCAATCACGAGAGTCCCAGTTGAGTTTGGAGGAACAAACTTTTGCGAAGATCCCAATGTATGCAGGAGGAAATCAGGACCCAGTTGAATGGCTAGAATCAGCTAACAGCAGTTTCGAGGCAAACAATATTGTAGGTGCAAGAAAGCTGGCTGTTGCGAGTGCCAGTTTGATGGACCTTGCTGCATTTTGGTGGGAAGATCGAAAAAGAGTAGGACCAAGAATCCTATACTGGGATGATAAGCATACACAGGACCAAAGCTTCGTAAACCAATTCCTCTCGAATTTTTGTACCCTGGCTATGGTAGCCTAGTAGAATACAGAGTTGTTTATCCGTAGGCAAGGTGCCATGGAAACTGTAGATCAGTACGCCGCCGATATGCTGGTGTTGTTTTGTTATACGTTGAGAGTTGAAAACCTGTACTCTGAGAGTATGAATGTAGAAATGTTTGTACAAGGCCTCCATCCTGATTTGTCATTGTCCGTCCAACCATTTATGCCAAGTACCCTTTGGGAAGCTATAGAAAGGGCCCAGGTATGTGAAATGGCAATTGTACGCAATATGGTCATGTGTGGCCCTGCTGTAGTTTATAATACAGCGTTGAATATAGAAATAGGCCCTTTGCAGTTATCCCAAGTAGTGTCTTCTCTGACACCACAAGTAGCAACCCACATGTCCCCAACAACAGAAAACCCTGTAGAACAAGTTGTTTCCTTGTTACAAGAGATTGTCTCTGCCGTGGTAAATGAGACCAAACCAGCCACCACTGTTCAGGTCGGTTTGAGCGTTAAAAATGATAATGACGTAAACATGAATAAAAGTAAGAAAAAAAGAAGAAACGAAGTTTATCGATTCTTCAGCAATGGCAAACCTAGACGATAAAATTTGGAAGAAGACCTCAATAAAAGAATCACGAAGGTGAAAAGACAAAAGGCTCAAAGATAATAAAAATAGAGTTTCAGGTAAAAAAGTAGGTATTCGTCAAAATAATAAGAAAGAGTATGAAAAAGATATATCCGGTAATTGTGAAATAACGGACGATCTAGAAGATCTGTTAAGTGACATTTGGAACTTATTCAACATTGAACGTAGCTATAAAAAAGAAATCGGGATTAAGAAAGATGAACATAATGCAACCAATAACAATGACATACTAGTACCTACATTTTCCAGAATTTTTCATTGTTATCAAAATGAAATTGGTGTTGAAAACGAAGGACAAGAGGCACAAAAGACATTCATTAATTATCAAAAATCCGAGAAGATAAGCTATGATGATGAAGCACATGATCTCAGCTATCATCATCGAAATGGAATAAAAATTAAAAAGGATGAACACCAAATATTCATTGAGTGTCAAAGTTCAGCGAATAAAAATTGTGCCGATTGAATTGAAAAAAATAAACCAAAGGTGTTGGGTATAGTTGCTGAAATGGCTGAAAAAGAACGACATAATGCCGATAGCAGCGACGTAGTAGTATTTGATTGAGGCAAAGTAGCTGAATCATATAACGAAAAGAATGAAAATTAGGCATTTGTTAATAATCAAAAATTAGCAAAAATGGGCCATGCTGAAGAATTAAATGATCTTGGTTATAGCTACCAAAACGAAATTAGAATTGAAAAGCATGAACCTAAGGCATTCAATAATTATCAAAAGCCTGCAGACATAGGTCAAACTGGTACAACATGGGATCTAGAGTGTTGTAACCATGGTAGTATTAACCTAAGTGAGGATGAAAAGAAAGTAGTAACTCGCCATCTGTGTACAAGCCAAGTCGATAAGATTAATAAACGTGGGCATCATTATGAAAACGGAATAATGGTCAAAAAAGACGAAGGTTGTGGGCATTGTGAGAAAAAGGAAAATGTTCAGAGTGGCTTGAAGGACATGTTAAACGAAGTAAAGAGAGAAGATAAGTACTAACCAAAAGTTATAGAAACTTGGAAGCCACCTATGTAGTGTGGAAGACAAAAATCGAATTATTTAAGGCCCAGGTAAATGAATTCGAACCCGAAAAAGGGCTAAATAATGAAAGTGGAAATCTTGATGATATATGTGGAGTTTGGATGTTGAAAGTAGAAAATGTCAGAAATGTGAAGTCAGTAGAAGAACATGGTCTAAACAACAATGATCTCCAAGAAATGTGCAGTGCCTGGATGGATAAGGTTGCATGAATCAAGGACCCACCAAGCTTAAAGAAAAATGCTGGTAAAGACAACGATTATATAAAAATAATGAAATATAAGGAAATTGATGATAACCCACCTTGCAGCAATAAAATGATAGTAGGTATGAAGGTTAATGAAACTTGATTGAATAAACGAAAGGTTATGGTAGAGTTGTGGATATGCTTTACAATGATGAAGTTATACGTGATGAATAGTTTTACAGTCGAAATATGAAGAGCTGATAAAAACAGCATTAATGATCTAGTGGAATGTCCACTTAAAAGAAATAATTTAGGTGATTGTAGCAAAAAAAAAAAAAAAAAGCTCACAAGGTGTAGTCAAAAATTTACTAACAGTGTCTTAAAAGTATCCCGCAGTGGTCATGTAAAAAAAAAAAAAAAAAAAAGAGCTTATGAAGGTGTTCTGCAGTAAACATATAGACGCATAAGAATGATAATGGAAAAAGCTCCATGGTTCTCCTGAAGTTGTCATGATAAACAAATCCACACAACGAAAGATGGAAATGAAGAATGAATAGTGATTCGCTGGAGCTCATCGCTAAGAGGAAGAAGATGTCACAGGAAATCTTTCTAGTATACTAATTTAGTCCTTAATTAGTATTTCTTTCATTACCCCGTTGCTCTATAATTAGTAGATCATTACTACATTATTAACATCGGATTATTCCAACGTAGTGAATTAGCATTACCACATTATTTGTAAATAGTCGTATGTCTTACCTCATTCTTGGTAATCGCTAGATGTATATAAAAGGATCGTTGTATGTAAAGAGAAGAGGGAATCTCTTTCGAATCTTTAATAGGTTTTTGAACACACATAGCTCTTGTACATAATAAATATATAATATTCGCTCTCCCAACATAAAACTTACATTCTTTTAAGACCCTAATGTTCACGGCTTAAAGCTAAATTGGTAACAAAGTTCTTAAAGTCTCTCCCCGAGCCGTGACAAAGGCAATCTATCGGTCCCAACGAGTTGCACTTAGAGGAAGTTGACTGTATTACGATTCTCATTGCATGATTATGATGCAACGATTAGGTATTAACAAAAACTCCCGTGACAACATATGTACGTACAGTACATACATATGTATAATTACTCAACTTTGTATCACTTAACACAAATATTTAGTACCTTCGTGCTACGATACATTACTTAAACCGTTTAAATTGCGTAGTTTTGTTTAAGCTTTCCAAATGATAGCATTACCAAACGAATGCCTTTCTGAAATATTTAATAATATTAAAAGTTGTAAATTTTTATTTTCATGTCTTCTTGTAAATCGCCAATGGTGTAGAAATGTTGTTCCAATATTATGGAATCAACCGTTATGGTATACTGGAGATAGAAGACTTACAAGAATGTACCTTTTATCATTGAATGATGAAGAAAAGGCACCATTAATTCCATTAAATATATCACTTCCAAATGATCCAAATCCATTATTTGAATACAGTTCTTATACTATATCGATCAAATATTATAATTTAGAAAGAGGAGTCATAAACTGGCTTTGCGGTGAAGGTCATGAGCCTCGTAATTTTAGTGAATTTGAAAAAAAATATGTTGAATCCAGGAATGAGGTTCGAACTGTTATATATTCATTGATTAAAATGTTATTACGAACAAGTGAAAAAATCAAGGAATGTTTTTTCAATAGTTACAAAATGGACACTACTAATGATGAAATAGAATTTAATAGTAAAATGGTAAAGCTATTATTTAATTATAAAAACACTACTATTACTTTATTAGACCTTTCTTATATCGAACTTAGCTTTGAAGAAGTAAAAATACTAGCAAATGTTCTTTATAAAAATACTTGTTTAATCTCATTAAGGCTTTATAATTGTAACCTTGATTCTGAGAAAGTAAAAATACTAGCAGAGATTTTATGCAAGAATACAACTCTATCTTCTCTAGATCTTACCTTTAATGAACTTGGTTATGAAGGAACGAAAATATTTGCAGAAGTTCTTACGAAAAATATCACAATAACCTCTTTAGTTCTTGGTTATAATAAGTTGGGCTTTAAAGGTGTAAAAGTACTTACAGAAGCTCTTTCTAAAAATATAACTCTAACTTCCTTAAATCTTGATGGTAATCGACTTGGCTTTAAAGAAGGCAAGGAATTGGCAGAAGTTCTTTGCAAAAATACCACTCTAACAACTTTAAGTATTTATAATAATAACCTTGGGTTTGAAGGAATAAAAGCGATAGTAGAATCTCTTTACAGAAACAAAACTTTAAGCTCTCTGGATATAGGATGTAATAATATTAGCACTGAAGGTGTAAAAGTAATCGCGGAGGTGCTTTGTAAAAACAATACCTTAACTTCTCTAAATCTTGGTCGTAGTCAACTTGGAATTGAAGATGGTATTATATTAGCAAAAGCTCTTTGTGAAAACACTACTCTGACTTCCTTGATTCTTTATGACAATCAGCTTGGTTCTGAAGGAGCGAAAGCATTGGCGCAAGCCCTTTGCAAAAACGTTAACTTAACTACTTTGAATCTTAATTGTAATCAAATTACTTTTGATGGAGTAAAAGCGTTTTCAGAAGTTCTTTGTAGAAATACGGTTTTGACTTATTTAGATCTTAGTGATAATAAATTTACTTTTGAAGGAGTAAAAGTGCTATCAGATGCGCTTTGCAAAAATACCTCTTTAATTAGTTTACGACTTTCTAAGATTCTACTGGACGTTCCTTGCAAAAACACTTCTTTAGTATTAGCAGAAGCTCTTTGTAAAAATATAACATTAGAATATTTGGATCTTAGTAACAATCAACTTGGCTATAAAAATGTGGAGATATTAATAGATACACTCCGTGAAAACACTACTTTAACCAGATTGTCAATTTATAGTAATCAGCTTAGTTATAGAGAATGCAAAATATTAGCAAAAAATCTTTACAAAAGCAATATTTCATTAAGTTTTGATTATTATTATAGTTAATTCGTAATATTATACTTTGAATTCAGCAAATCCATGCGTTTAATTATCAAATTATTCATTAAGTAAGCATCCTAAAAGCATTAAAAAAAATTTTTTTTTTATAATATCACCTAATTGAATTATATTTTAATAAATATTAAATGAATAATACCAAGCTTTTCAACCGTTAATTTATCATACTAGCATATTACTAAATAGAGATAAGAATCGATTCTATTATATCCGTTTTAAAGTGTTAATCAAATTATACGTAGCGCCTTATTAAGAGATGTGATCTCATGATTGTAATGATTTTTGTGATCAAGAACGTTTCTGAAATTATAGTTGTCTATTAAACTATATTTTTCGATTAGTCATATTTTCACATATAATTGAAATCTTAAAATCTCCCAATTCTCTCGTTGCATCGTAATTTGATAAGTTTTTAAATAGTACAACTAGTAAGGCACATTTGGCGACTTCGCAGCAAATTTCAAATAATTTAAAACGAATGATCTTTTTTCGTAAATAATTCAAAGATATTACATAAGTCTGTAATTGTGAATATTCAAATATTTTTACATAATTAGTTTGTGTAAGTGTAGTTCAACTAGACTCATTCAATTTTTAACTGAGCTCAGTATGTGAAATAAAATTAATTTGAAAAAGGGACTAACTCATAAATATGATTAAAAGAGGCAAATAGATTATTTTAATGCTTTGATCAACAAATAAACTTTATACTTATTAGCTGAATCAACTCGAACTCAATAATAAGAGACTTAAGAAGTGGCCCATCGACTAAATAAGAAAACTTAATGAGAGATGAATAGATTATAAATCCACTTGAATAAAAAGAAAAGGAATAAGAAGTGAAGACGAAAGGAAAATGTAAAGAGAATAATGAGAGAATACGCACATACGAATAAGATATAATAACCAAAAAGCAAGTTAATAGTTAATAGATAGATTCGAACGGTTCCTCAACATTGTTTCGCTTAACCTCGTTACTTAATGAGGAACCACATGTAAATTTAGGATAATCAAATTCTTTCGCTACGGATTTTAACGACCAGATATTATCAGTTAATCATTCCAATAAAAAAAAAAAATAACAAAAAAGCAAATTTTCAGAAAAAAAATTGTATAGATAATATATATCTGATATATATAACCATGCGAATCCTCATTTTTATTATAATTTAGTATCTTTATTTTACAAGAAAAGCAAACTTTTATCATAAATCTACATGAACATGAACATGAAACATATAGATACGTACATACGTACGTTATATATATAACTGATGGTATGTACGTCGTAAATTTACTTTCATATTACTTTAACATTTAGTGCCTTTGTGCTACGATACATTAAGGATGTGCAATTGAGCGGTAACACACCACCAAATCAAACACAACCACGTCGTATACCCAATAAGTAGAGGGTACGATCTGGCAAGGCTAAGGCGTATCGGGTATATGGTGGGATCAAGAGCGACTTTATTTCAAATACAAACACACAGGTGATGTTGTCTCTCCTTTTATTGAAGGCAAATCAAATCCATTTTTATAACAATTTACATGTGGAGGAGAAAGAAAAAGAAGATCGAACTTTTTTTTGATCTGATCCCATTATGAAGTATCACACCATCTTTTGCGACTATAATCGTTTTCATTATACAATATTACTAAATCCATCCTTTTCTCATAAAACAACTTGTCATAGTTATACAGTAGCCTCGGATTCAACCGGTTTTATGATCTATAATCCTGATTGTAGATCCCATTCTACTAATTATTATTTCTTATTTTAGAAAGCCATTTTATCGAGGCTTCTATCGCTTCTTTCATATGGGCAGGCTTTTCAAGGGTGCGTCGGATCGAGTCTTGATCACGTTTTCGGGTCACGTGGCACAACAATTCATGTGGCGGATTGTAACGGGTTTGCCGTTCACAACAGCCTGCATGGAATCTTTGAGAGACTACGCAGTGTATTTTATAATTCTGGCCAGCTAGGCTTGTATAATGTTGGCTTGATGCTTTATAATTATGTACAGTAGTTAGCGAAATCTGATATGCCTGATATAATAAATATATACGATTATGAATATAAGTAATTCTTAATTTTGGGTGCTAGTATTCACTAGAAAATTTCAGAATAAAATTATTTTTGCATTAAGTAT